CGGGCAGATTGCCCGGGGGGAGAGCCGATGCCGGCTGTGCCGTACGGCTCGGCACACGCTGTGTGGCTGGCATCGAGCCCGGCTGCACGGGGGGGACGAGGATCACCCCGACCCCGCTCCCGGCATCCCCCACTGTCCCCCATCTCACTTAGCCCCAGTGTTGGGGGGGTCCACATTCCTCGGGGTCCTATTAATCTCATCCCCCATCCGATACGCGTAATCTCCCTGCCGACAGATGTGGTGTCCCCCGAGGATGCTCTGTGGGACGGGGACATGTTTTTGGGGTGGGGGTCCCTAACCGTGTCCCCTTGCAGGTGCAACACACAGGATTACACGTGGCACAAGGGCACGCGCTGCGAGGCTATCGTCACCGACTTCCAGGTGATGTGCGTGGCCGTGGGCTCGGCCGCCCTGGTGGTGCTGCTGCTCTTCATGCTCACCGTCTTCTTCGCCAAGAAGCTCTACCTGCTCAAGACGGAGAACAGCAAACTGCGCAAGACCAAGTGAGTGGCATCGGGGACAGGGCTGGCACCCCCAAAACTGTCCCCAACCGATCCAGGGTGGCACCTTGATAGCCGCAGAGGTTTGGGTGGTCTCAGCTCCTGGTGGTGGCACCGGGGCTGGATGTAGTCCTGTCCCCACTCCGTGTCACCGAGACCCCCAGTGCTAATGGGGACCAGGTGACAGTGGGTGGGAAAGCTCCCGGAGGCGGGACGTGGCTTGTGGTTGCTGCTCTAGTTAATCCTTTAAAGCTGCTCCTGACTGGCACCAGTTAATCTGCTGTACTGGAAGCTGGGGCCACCAGCTGGACATGCCACGTTGCCCAGGGGCCACCGGAGATGGTCCCCACTGTGTCCCCAGGGACAGGACTGGGGGGCGAGAGGGGAAAGTTGGGGTCACCCACCCCAGCAATCGCTGCCCACCTCCCTGGAGCCGAGGAGGAGGAGAAAGCCCTCCCAGCCTGGGTCCCTAATGAGCTGTTAATTAGTGTTTGGAAGTGCCAAATGTAATTAGCAGCCAAGCTCTTCCGTGCCAGCCCATAGGTCTCCCTCTCCAGCCCTGCCCCGGGCTGCCCTCACCGCTCCCCTGCCTGCGCCCCCCCAGAACTGGGGGCATTTCGCCCCAAACCCCCCGACCTGGGAGCATTTAGCACCCCCCCCCCCCCCGACAAACGCCCCGCTGGGGCCCTTTCCCCAGACTTGGGGGAATGTAGCCCCACACCTCCATCCTGGCAGACATTTAGCCTCCAAGCCCCCGGATCTGGGGCATTTAGCCCCAAACCTCCATCCCTGGGGACATTTAGCCCCCAAATCCCCATATCTGGGGGTATTTAGACCCCAACCCCCTAGACCTGGGGGAATTTACCCCCAACCCTCCAGATCTGGAGATGTTTAGCCCCCCAGATCCTCAGAGCTGGGAGTACGTAGCCCAAAACCCCCAGAGTTGGGGATATTTAGTCCCTACATCCCCAGACTTGGGGGAATGTAGCCCCACACCTCCATCCTGGCAGACATTTAGCCTCCAAGCCCCCGGATCTGGGGCATTTAGCCCCAAACCTCCATCCCTGGGGACATTTAGCCCCCAAATCCCCATATCTGGGGGTATTTAGACCCCAATCCCCTAGACCTGGGGGAATTTACCCCCAA